CATGTGAGTGTGAGTGTGTGTGTGTGTGTCCCTGTCACAAGGGAGTGACGTGGCCCTATGGGGCAGTCATGCTATAGTAGTTGTGTGTGTGTGTGTGTGTGTGTGTGTGTGTGTGTGTGTGCGCGTGCGTGTGTGTGTGTGTTTGCACGTGCACGCATGTGTGTTTGTGTGTGTGTGTTTGTGTGTCTGTCTGTCTGTCTCTGTGTGCTTGTGTTCAATTGTAATCCATGCATTGCAATGCTCAACGTCGTCTCTCACAGATGACAGCATCAGCGCATACATCGTATCCGTGACCGGCGCAGGCAAGCTGTCCGTGCTCTACAACGGCTCGGACATCACCGGTGCTGTGCAAGACGGTCAACATCCAGCTCTCGCTTTCACCAGCAACGGCAACACCCTCGTCGTGTCTATTGCCATAGCCAGCTGCAGTGTGGAGGTCCTGAACAGACAAATTCTCTCAGCCAGCTTTCAAGGTAAGGTTCTTCTGTGACCACCACAGTCGAGCAGAAACCCTACTGTATTTCCCTGACTATAAGTGAAGTCACACTCGTTTATAAGTCACACTCCCCCCCCCCCCCCCTTCACGTTTGAGCCATGTGTGATTTTGCCATGTCAATTTATTACAACATCCAGTATCACCTACTCTGAAGAGCCTTTGATAGGCGAAACAGCTGTCAGAAGGAAATGTTTTATCCGTGACCCCTTCGTTGTTTGAAATTTTTGGTGTGTGAGTAATGGCTACCGATGGTAGCAATGGTCGGCTTTAGAGCGAATGGAGGAGGAGCGTTTGTTGTGCAATCAGACCTCGCTTTTCCGGTTCTCTTTTTATCCGGATCCGTCGCCATCCGGAAGAACATCGTTGGTTACCGATTTACAGCACGTGTCATTAATACATACAGTATGTGTGTTGGCTTATCCGGTTCCCTCGCCTATCCCAATGCCCCACCATCACTGCTGCGTCTAGGCACAGCGCCTGCTCATTACTTGTCAGTTTGTCCTAGTCTCCGTACCATTGTCTTTCCTTATTCTTTTCGAGCTGGTTATGTGAACATAGTAAAAAAATAAAATAAAAAAATAAATTCGGATATTTTGTGGAAAACGGATGTGAGCGGTTAAGCGAGATCTGACTGTATCACAGTTTTATTGAGCCATATTATTTCAATATAGTCACATAGGTAGGCTGCCACACTTGATTGTAAGCAACGTTTTCAAGCCTGGCGTGATGTTTGTATGCCTTTGTTTTGGCTTTGTGTAGTGTCTGCAAGTGTGGTTAGCCGAGTGCATGGACTGTACACCATCGACCGCCTTCATCCCAAACTGGATCTCGCCGACGTCATGGCAGTGTTCAAGGCAGCCGCTAGCAGCTGTAAGACGCGCCGTGCTGTGCCCCATCATTTGACAATGTCGTATGTAGAATGCATTGGCTTATGTGCTATACAGTCATGTATTTTTTAAAGAACTCAGATGGTGAGCCAAGGAAAAAAATTGTAACATGGAAATTGTGGGCACAAGTAATGCGATCGAGTTCACCACATACTGACCAACCACCGAAACCTCAATCCCTTGACAAGACATGCAGAATCCCTGGATTTCTCTTAAAAATCCTTGGATGGCACGAAAAACAAGTGAAAAAGAGCTTTTCCCGCCAAACAAAACGTTCGACTCTGCAGATCTGCAGGCTGGCCAGGTCTTGAAAGTGCCGTGCACAGTTCGAAGTGGGAATGGGCACCATACATATTTATGATATTTTTGCAAAAACCAGGACATTCGGGGCGAATCCATGGAGTTTTCAGGAAAATCCTGTACCAGGCAAAACTGTGACTTTTCCGGGAGTTTGCTTGAAATCCCGGGACCCCGGGAGTAATGTTGATTTCCCGGGATTTTCCCGGGAAAACCGGGAGGGTTGGCCAGCATGCCACCAACTAAACCAGATTTTGAACAGTCAGACGTGCACAATCCTTGTTAGTTTTGTGCTAGATTGTGAACGTCTGACTGTTCAAAATCTGGTTTAGTTGGTGGACTCGATCGCATAACTTGTGCCCACAATTTCCATGTTACATGGCTCACTAGTTACATAATATCTGGCACATGACCATCGGGACAGCGATGTTGGTTCCAACTCCACACTAGCCCAGCATCTATGGGTCACATGATGTCGGCCATGTTGGCTACACTGTCCACCTGACATGGTCACCTTCTTTACAAATTTAGTCACAGGATCATACGGGGGACAGCCATGTTGGTTTCAACTCTACATAAGCCCAGCATCTACGGTCCGCATCATGTCGGCCATGTTGGGTCCACAGGCCCGTCGCACCGACTTTGGCGGTGGGGCGGCCATGGAAGGGGGGGGGGTGGGGAGGGTCCGGGGCCCTCCTGGGAGAATTTTTTTAAAATTGAAGCCAATTGCAAGCATTTCCGGGCATTTGGTGCCATTTTAGTGTACACCGTACACCGGTCACCTGGTCACCGTGCCTGCAGGGTACAACTTACTAGCGTGTTTGACCTTTTTTGGGTGCAGTCCTGTCACTCGAGTTGAACTCGAGTTGAACCTTGGTGTGAAAGTTGTCGCCTGCTGGCGCGGTGACCAGGTGATTTGGGCACCCAGGAGCACGTGACCGCTTGTTCAACTATGTTCGATTGGGAATAAAGGAGGAACGCTGCATCGCAGCCTTTTCGGACCAAAACCAGTCGACTCAGCGTCCCAATGACTACAACATATGGGCCAATCGCGGTCATCCGTGCTTTTATAAGAACGACATGGCACTTTTAGTGACATTTTGCATACAAATCCCCATCTAGTAGGGCGCAGTCACCCAGTTTTGGTGGAAGTGCGCGAGTTCGATTGGGAAAAAAGAAGGAAGGGAGCGTCTCAGCTTCCTCGGACCAAGACCATTCGACTCAGCACCCCGAAGACTACAACTGGTGAAAATTTGATTTTAACTTTCCCTTTAACTTTCTATGTCTCGCACATACAGTGGTAGATATTGTGACAACAACAGTACATCCTGCATTGTGTGACCCGTGCATTTCTCCCTTGTCACATTGTAAAATTTGCATTGTGTGTGTGTGTGTGTGTATGTTTGTGTGTGTGTGTGTGTGTGTGTGTGTGTGTGTGTGTGTGTGTGTGTGTGTGTGTGTGTGTGTGTGTGTGTGTGCGTGTGCGTGCGCGTGTGTGTGTGTGTGTGTGTGTGTGTGTGTGTGTGTGTGTGTGTGTGTACAGATCAGCACAACAGCAGCAGCAGTCCGTTTGCGTACACCAAAGAACACGGCCATGCGTTCTACAACCCGCCGCTGCCAAGCAGTGATAGCCCCGTGCTCACCCAGACCAGTTCTGACATCATATCAAAGGCCTCTCCAGATCTACAGAAGGTCTGTGGATTATCCCTGCCGTGCATCATTGATGGTCTGGCACTGAACTCCCTGGAGTTTGCCGCCAGCAGTAAGAAGGAGGACACGGCCCTGGCGGTGCAGGAGAGTACCATAGGTACGTGTGTGTAGCGGGGGGGGGGGGGCATGTGTGTATGTGTGTACGTGTGTGTGTGTGTGTACATGTTCCTGTTAGCGTTTGTGTGTGCCGTACACGGTAAGCCCGTTTCATATTTGCGTCTGAGCTGCTAATCACGTGCGGCCACTTTTTCTTGTTCTCTATCTCCCCCTGTGCCCCTGCTGCTATTGTACAGAGACGGGTCTTCCACTCATCAAGATCACACCACCAGTACTTCAGGCACAGCTCGGCCAAGCGGCCAGCGTGGAGGTGCAGGTGACGGGCATCGCCGCGTACAGCATACAGGAGCTACGCTGCAACGTGGTGGGACTGCACGCCAGCACGTACCAGATACAGCGCAAGGGCACCACTATGCTGCGCTTCACGTGGACGCCGGCCGTTCGAAACCAGACGGGCGTCGTGAGCGTCTCGTTTACCGTGGTCGACGCGGCGGACGGCCGGGAGACTCACGAGGCGCTCCGCCTGACCCTGTGCTCCTGCCACGGGCAGTGCGAGCGGCTGGCCACGGCCGTGGAACAGTTCACACTGCTCCGGTGCACGTTCTGCTCGGCGGGTAAGTCACGGTGCGCGGCAATGCACATAAAAGCGCATGCGCCTATGTTTGCGCTATTTTGTGTACGTCGTGTTGGTGGATGCGCGTGGTGCAGTCTTCGTCTTGAACTCGTCATGTCTAGTTGTGTTTCCGTCGTCTTGCCATAAATATAGTCTTTCTAAATGTAGTTATCGTCGTCCATTGTATAAGGCTGTCTTTACATGAGAAATTTCAACCCGGGTCGAGTTCAGCCCGGGTTGAAAGTCTGTACGATAGACAAAAAAGGCGAGCGTTTACATGAAGACAGTTGACCCGGGTCAAATACTGATATGCCGCCAAAAGTCCACTTCTACAGTCCTGCATGGTCACGTGAATCCGTTCGTGCGGAATTTGCATCTGCAGTGCTGTTCAAACCTGGCGCGAGATACGCACAGAAGTACGTTTGTACGATTTTCTTGACCCGGGTTGGTTTCAGCCCTCCCCTTGGGGGGAGGGTTGAAATCAACCCGGGGCGAAATTTCAACCCGGGTCAAGCGCAATGCGTCATGTAAACGCGCCATTCATTTTGTGCACATGGCGGGTTGAAATCTGACCCGGGTCGAACTCAACCCGGGTTGAAACTCCTCATGTAAACACAGCCTTAGTGTGGAGATGGCACGGGGCTGGGAGCAGGTGAAGAAATTAGGGTAACAACGCCTACCGTAATGTCGCGTATAAAAGCAGGTGCTTACGGCCGTATAAGCCGATGTGAGTGCTAGGTTTCTATTCAAGTCAGGTTTCTATTCATGTATGTCAACACTAAACCAGGCTTATGTGCTGACAGTGTATCTAAAAAATCAGGCTTGTATTCAGAACAGGCTTCTATACAAGACATGCTTTTATACAAGACATGCTTTTATACAGGACAGGCTTTAATACAGGACACTACAGTATAGGTATAGGAGCACCCTCACACATTAGCGCATGGGCTTATAAGTGAACCCCAATCCCGCGGCGACGCACGCATGCCACCATGATACCATCTTGGCAGGATCTAATGTGCAATTTCCAAATTCCGTACCGGCAGCTCAACTACAAGCTCATGTTCCTGCCTATAGAGCTTTTTCAAGGTTGTACCAACGGTCACTTTTTGGGGTCACGTGCGAGAAATTTTTTGAATCGCTGGTGAACAGGCGAAGCCCAGTTCACGTTCACTTTGTATGGGAATGGATGCGTGGAGGTGAAAGAAGCAGTGGAATGGCTCTCTACTTGATGTCCGACACTCGTGTTGAATCCGAGCAGTTGCCAGGAAGCCCTTCCATGGCTTGGGCGAAAAAGAACAAGCTTCAGAATCGCTCCAAGCGCTGGTCGAGACGAACCTGTCACATTTCGTATACTTATCAATGCGTTTTGAGTTTTGACATGCGACCTGTTCGCCGTGGGCCAACCCATCCGCGAGTTGCACACTCTTGTTTATCTACTCTTGATATTACGTTAATGTGGCAATGCACCATAGTCACACATAGGTCATGGTAATGCACATAGCATCAAGAGCACGGTGAAACCGGTCTAACACCACGGCTCAAGGGACTTTCAAAATGTGGTCTCTGTTACCAGGTGGCCTCCTCATCCAGTGCCATTTGACTGGACATAGCATCCCTTGGACCTGGCTGCAGTGGTCTTCTGGGACAGGTGGTTGCCTTAACCGAGTGATCGCCTTGACAGGTTTTACTCTACACAGGCTCCCAAGAGTGTGCAGAAACTCTGGACAGCCTCTCGTTGGGGTCCGCCGTCGACGACGGACCCAAAACTCACATCACGTGCTGTAGTGGTCCTGCTGTACGGTTCGAGCTCGTTTTAGCGAGCAGCAGGGTAATGAAAATAGCACTGCCTGACAGAAGCTCACTGTGAGGGTGCGTATGCAACTCCAAACATGATCATTGCAGATTTTCGGACTGCGCGCACGCTATCCTTCGTTTGTACGTGTAGTACGAAACGTACCTGAGACACGTGATGTGAGTTCTCGCCGTCGGAGACCGCATACGCACAGTTGCACACTCTTGGGAGCTTATCTTACTCTTGCTTACGCCCACTTTGCGACTTTAACCCGCCAAAAAAGGAGTGTGTACCTGACTCGAAGTCCACAGCCCCCACCTTACATCCCACCAACCGCCCCACCAGCAGCAATCCTAATGTGAATGTGTCTGTGTGTACAGGTCGTACCGGCCGGCTGTGCGAGCAGGACGTCGACTCCTGCGCCACTAATCCGTGCGACCTGCGTCGCGGCTGCGTCGACCGGAAGGTGCCGCAGCACGGTTACACTTGCACGGCGTGCCGGAGCGGCTACGAGCAAGACGCGTACACGGCAGACGCCTGCGCGGACAGGGACGAGTGTAAGGCAGGCGCAGTGAGCGACAGCAATGGTTATGGCGAGCCGATAGCCGTGTGTACGTCTGCATCACAGAGCTGCGTCAACACCGCCGGTTCCTATGAGTGCGTGTGTGCTCCGGGCTACACCGGAAGCTCATGTACAGGTAAGTTTTAGCCGGCGGTTAGATGTGTCTCTTTCGGCCCCTGTTTACCGTATTTTCCCGAGTGTAAGTCGTACTGTATAACCAGAAAATTTCGTCGGTCAATATTTTCGTCCAACTCCAAAGAAAGGGAGTTCGTCCGGTTGTAAATTTCGTCCATGGATCATAGGAGTGTGTTGAAAAGCTGGACAAATTAATATCGGTCCAGCATTTAATTTACTTCGAAGTAGTCCAACAGCTCGTTGGACGAAAAAGACGAAATTAAATTCCAGACGAATATTTCTGCTTGTACAGTACTTTAAACACTCATACTTCACCCCAGAAATAGCCACTATGGTACTTCACCCCAGAAATAGCCACTATGGTACTTCACCCCAGAAATAGCCACTATGGTACTTCACCCCAGAAATAGCCACTATGGTACTTCACCCCAGAAATAGCCACTATGGTACTTCACCCCAGAAATAGCCACTATGGTACTTCACCCCAGAAATAGCCACTATGGTACTTCACCCCAGAAATAGCCACTATGGTACTTCACCCCAGAAATAGCCACTATGGTACTTCACCCCAGAAATAGCCACTATGGCTTATACTACCATGGTCAAGTGAACCGTGACATACCTGGTAGACAGTTTCCTCTGAGACAAAAATGCGATACTGTAAAAGCCATAATTATATATAACGAAGTGCTGACTCTAACGAGTTAACGAGCAGAAATCTGTCGTTAAAATAGAAGTCGTTATACAGAAATCGATACATATACTGTCCTATTGAGCGTTGAGAATATGTGAGAATCGTTACCTTTGGTACACGTAAACCAGTCGATTTTGGGAAATCGTTATATATGCGCCTCGTTAGAATAATGGCTTTTACAGTAATACTCATAAAAAGGACACACTTCAGGCTCTTTACGAACGTCTTGAAAGTTTTTTGGTTTCGCAAGTACACGTTCAAGCCTTCTCATCAGGTGAAATACAGACAAGGGAAAAGGAACAGGAACAGTGGATTAAGGAGGTGGTAAAACAGCGCAAAGAAGAAGATAGCTAAAGTAAACAGCGAAAATGCGTGACCTATACACATACAAGAAACTAACTCTCCTCCTCCATGCGCTCTAAAGCCGACCATTGCTACCCTCGGTAGCCATTACTCACACCAATAACTTCAAACAACGAGCCACCTCACCTCGTCACCTTCTCTGACGAGCCTTTGATAGGCGAAACAGCTGTCAGAAGGAAATGTTTTACCCGTGACCCCTTCGTTGTTTGAAGTTATTGATGTGAGTAATGGCTACCGAGGGTAGCAATGGTCGGCTTTAGAGCGCATGGAGGAAAGAGAGTTAGTTTCTTGTATTATTCAACAGCCGAAAGGTACCGTTCAACAGTTTATTGATACCTGTACACATGGCAACAATGACACAAATGTACAGGGTGGATGTCTGTATTTCGTGACAACAAAATCTGAGTGCGGGGTATACTCCGGAAAGCATGCTAGTCTCGTTTTTTTGCAAGCAATGTAGGATTTCCCCTCTTCTTGTGAGCAGTGGTGGGTTTCCCTTTCTTGTAAGCGGTGTGGTGTTTCCCCTTCTTACAAGCAATGTGGGTTTTCCCCTTCTGATGAGAAACCAGGGAACTTCAAGTCTTGTCTGTGTAATGTGTGAATCCACCAGCCCAATGTTGCCGAATGAAACTGTAGAGTCTTCTCCTTGATACTCTTCAGCTAGTAGACCCAGGTGCTCGAAGTCCGGACATGGTATCCTAAGTTCGTATGCCCATAATGTCATGTTCTGTTATTGTATTCGACTCAAATATTTTATGGAGGGGACAGTGTGGTATGTTCTCCTCGCGTAGCAATTTTCAGGGATCTACGATAAGCAGAAGTCCTATACCACGCGAGTGGGTTTTCGAGTGTCCATACGAAATACAAATTGGGTTACATTTCATGCAAAAATCAACTTTGCCAAGACCGATTTCGAACGGGCACAGCGTCAAACAGACCTTCACTCAATCATCAAGAGCCAGCTTAGAGCTGAGAATGGCCAGAGGAGAAGAATTTACAGAGAACCACCAATCCTTGCAGAAAGGTTTACACTCCTGGCATCTCCACCACTGTTTTCCCGCGGTTTTCACAGCGCAGCTGCTTCTTCTCTGAGCCGACTAAAAACAGCTTGCATTTCGACAACAAACTATACTTTTGCAAGAAATACTGGTGGAGGCACATGCCAAACATAATATTATCGCTTCGGTGCTTTCGTCGTAACCGAGGGATTGCAAGTTAGCAATTAGCAGAAATATGTGTGTATTTCGAGTCACCTCTGATCAGTACGGACTTAGAGTACCCTCTGCGACACCAAAATTTCATATGAAAATCAGCGAACTCCAGAGAAAGAGATCGAATCGAAAGATGGCCTGGTTCAATCGATCCTGGCCTCAAAACAAACTTGGACAAGATACCTTCCATCCACGAGCAGGATTCTGGCAAGTGATCATTGCTAGTGTGAGTTTCAGCTCGGCAAACGCACACTGTAAAAGTGTACGGACTTCGAGCACCTGGGTCTACTCAGCCTTTTCCTCATTTTCTGTCTGTACTATCTGTGCCTCTCGCTCTCTTCCACACACACACACACTCTCTCTTCCACACACACACTCTCTCTCTTCCACACACACACACTCTCTCTCTTCCACACACACACTCTCTCTCTCTCTCTTCCACACACACACTCTCTCTCTCTCTCCCACTCTTTCCTTTCTCTCCCTCCCTATTCTTCTCTCCCTCTCTGTCTCCCTCTCTCCTTCTACATCTGCTTTGCTGTCTGTCTGTCTGTCTGTCTGTCTCTCTCTCTCTCCCTCCCTCCCTCCCTCCTTCTCTCTCTATCTCTCTCTCTCTCTCTCTCTCTCTCTCTCTCACACACACACACACACACACGCACACACACACACACACACACACACACACACACACACACACACACACACACACACACACACACACACACACACACACACACACACACACACACACACACACACATGTGGACACACACACACACACACACACACATGTGGACACACACACACACACTTTCTGCCACCTTCAGATGTGGATGAATGCAATGTTGTGAGCTCTGCTGGACCGCCGCCGTGTGATGCACACCATGCTGTATGCACAAACACTGTTGGTAGCTTCACCTGCTCATGTGCTCGTGGATACATTGGAACAGGGAAGACAGTGTCGGGAGGCTGTGCGGGTGAGTCGTAATATTACAACTTGCAGATCTTTGACTGAATTGGTTTCTTTGATTGCATTGAACTACAATAGCTAGAGCCCCTGGGTAAGCCACGCGCATTAAATACGAATATACAAAAGAACTTAGTCGGACGGAAACCGTGCGTGTTATCACACAAAGAGACGAAGCCAGTTGTGAATCTGATGAATCCTTTTGTATGATTACTTGTCGAATCAGCAGTACATGATGACAACTGCACTGCATAGACATTAGAGAGGTGCCGGGTACGATTTTCCGTGCCAAAATCCGTGTGGGCTCTACGGATTTTTTCGAGGCGTGCTCCATTCGATTTTTCGGCACGGAGAATCCGTGTGGACTGGCTTTCATACGAACCATGTTTCGTATGGAGATTTTGCGTCATCGGGTGCAGAAAGATTTTTCGCGTACAAATTTGGTACGAGAAACATCGATTTTTCGCGGGAAGTTTTGATTTCGGTACACATTTTCAAAATAAAAAGGCATAGCGCGGGAATGTGACGTGTTTGCGATCGTAACCTAGGCAATGATGGCAAACACATAAGTTCCATACTCCGGAACATTTCACTGCTCGAAAACGGCGTATAAAAGATCCGTAGCGCCTCTACAGATTTTGGCACGAAAAATCGTACTCCGGAACTTCTCTATTGGACAATAAATCATTTGAATTCATTTCCCACGTTGTCATGTGAACCCTATTGTGAGCGCAAAGTGTACATGACGTGTGAGCAGGGGAGCAAAATAGCCAACATCTTGTGACCCATTCATTGTCCCTAAAAATTGACTAGATTCATGAACCAAAAAGAGTGCACCCCAATGGCGAAGTCCCCAAGTTCACACACCGAAGGGAAACCCCAATGGCAATGCTGAGCTCTAGCTTATCTACTAGCCATGCGCATCTTGACTCTTGAGTGATGCAAGCTCCTATTAAAGCCACTTGGATCATTGCTAGCATTCTTTCTTCTGCTTGCCTTACAAGAAAGAGGTGCTGTCCATGTCTGTTGTGTTTTTCTAAGCCAGTTTGGGGCGTTGCTAGCACGTTGTCTTGCGCTTGCTATTCCTGTTTGATGTGTGTGATCAGAGGTGAATCCCTGTCTCCTTGCCGATAATGGCTGCTCCAAGGAAGCTCAGTGCATTCCTGAGAAGGCCTCCAACATCTGCGTTTGTCCTGACCGGCAGCTGCAGACTGCAGACGAGAACTGCGATGGTGAGTAGGCCTACAGTCCGTTCATTGGAAACTGGCACCCTAACTTTTTGGTGTCTCCCGCACATAGTTGTAGATATCGTGAAAACAACAGTACATCCTGCATTGTGTGAAGCGTGCATTTACTCCTTGTCCCATTCGAGGGCAGAAAAGTCCAAGAACAGGGAAATAGAAATTCAGCCAGGTTTTACAAAATTAGGACAGGTATGCCATGGGAAAATGTATGGAGAAGCAGATCCCAAACCCAGATTTTGAGATTTAAAGTGGGTTTTTGATCCTCAATTCGGCCCAAATCGGACTTTCAAAAGCGGGACTGTTTCCGATGAATGGACTGTAAGCTACCGTATAGGAACTGAGACACTGCTTGCTGTGGCACTTGATTTAATAATAATAATAATAATAATAATAATACGTATTCGCATGCAACGACGCAAATCCACACAATTCAGTAGACACTTTTTCTATCAAACGTTTTCTTTCCCTTCTCTTCAGGATAGTACAGGGAATGTTGGAAATTAGAAAAACACATAACTATATAGAGAATGAAAGAAAGAAAAAGTCAACACTTCAACATAGGTGTTAAAAATGATTAAAGTGTTAAAAACTCAAAAACAAACAGCTGCAAGTTGTAGACAAACACGTTGAACACATCAGGGAACACTTGTCACACTTTCACGAGGTGTGACACCAAACAACTGCAACGATAACACATTCTCCTTCTGTACACATAGTTCTGGATCTAGTTTACGAATATACAGAGCTTCTAACACAGCAAGATGTAACTTAGACCTTCCACGAGTCCACGAGAAAACGTTTGATAGAAAAAGTGTCTACTGAATTGTGTGGATTTGCGTCGTTGCATGCGAATACGTATTACGAAACTGTTTTTCCCACCGCCTCCAAACTACTGTTTGAATAATAATAATAATAATAAGTCTGGGGAAAACGTTGAACGGTCTCTGCTTGGATGACGACTACACCATAGCTCAGTGGTTAGAGCATCGCTGGCTACAAGCGAGGGTCCCTGGTTCGAGTCCTGGTGGTGACGGTCAATTTTTTCTTCAGACTTTTCCCGTTTGTCTCTTTCCCTCAAAACCAGTTAATAAATAATAATAATAATAATAATAATAATAACAAGCCTGACAAGCCTGCACTCTTACCTTCGGAGAGCCTTCCAGAGGGTGATAGATGGCCACAGTGACATTCCGGGATGGTTGACGTCTGGCGCTACTACTCTCCTTCCTAAGACTTCTCCACCTTCGGCAATGCCCAAAGATTATAGACCAATTACGTGTCTTCCGATACAGTACAAGCTCTTTACCGCCGCCATATCGAAGATTATGTGGCAGCACATCAATCAACATGAAATACTTGCAACGGAGCAGCGCGGTTGTGCAGCAGCTGGCCTTGGTTGCAAGGAGCACCTGATGGTGGATAAGATGATTCTGGAGGATGCCCATACGAAAGGGCGAAATCTGGTCATGGCATACCTGGACTTCAAAAAAGCATTTGATAGTGTGTCGCATGAATGGATTCTACATGCTTTGACGATGTATCGATTCCACCCGTCTTTGGTCACAACTATTGCTCGTAGCATGCGGAACTGGAGAACGACAATGCACATATGCGACCAGGGAAGATGCAGGGTCACTACCGGCAACATTTCAATAAGAAGAGGCATATTTCAAGGTGACACATTATCCCCGTTACTGTTTTGCCTGGCGCTAAACCCAATCAGTTTTGAGCTCAACCTATTGCCTTTGGGATACAGAGTCAGCTGCAGAGACGCCGAGTTGTCTATCAATCACTCTTGGTACATGGACGACATTAAACTCTATGGGAAAACTACAAAGGATGTGACTACCCTCGTGTCTACCGTGTGTGGCGTTGGTGATGACATCGGCATGAATCTCAACCCGGCCAAGTGTGCCGTGCTGCACGTCAGGAGAGGAAAACCAGATGAAGGATGCTCTATCCAGGTTGGCGATGAGACCATTGCAGAGTCGCTACGACTCAATGAAACATACAAGTACCTTGGAGTAGTGCAAGCAGCCATGATACCTCACCCGAAGCTCAAGACGCAACTCACTGCAGAATACAAAAAGAGATTGTATTTGCTTCTTAACAGTGGATTGAATGCGCGAAACATGATCAAGGCCATCAATACGTATGCTCTGCCGGTTATGACATATAGTTATGGAATCGTAAATTGGACCGAGGCTGAAATCAAGACCACAGATCGAGTGACAAGATCAGCCTTGACTGCGTCTGGATTTCACCACCCCAAAGCCTCAGTCAACAGGCTCTACATGAAGAGGGGAGATGGAGGCCGGGGCTTGGTCTCTTGTGAGGATATGCATGGCCGGAGCATGTGTGGCCTGGCCCGCTACATGAGTACCAGCCCAATAGACAGAATAAGCCTGCTTTATCAGTATCATCAACAAAAACCTACAACAAAAAGCCACTCAATAACTGCAAAGGCCGCTAAGTTCCTGTCGAGTTTGGATCTGCCAGCAGCTGGACCAGCTTTACCCAATAAGCATACCATTAAACAAGCGTGCGCTGAGCGAAAATCCAAAACACTTTCCACTATGCCGCTGCATGGGAGATATTGGAGCCGATTGGAGGAGAATCGCCTAGATAAGGAGCTTACCTTCATGTGGTTGAAATCAAGGACAAGGACACTGAAACCTTCAACTGAAGGCATGATTATGGCAGCACAAGACCAATCCCTCAAAACGAAAAATTACCAATACGCCATAATGAAGTCAATTCCTCGAACTGATGCCAATTGCAGGCTTTGCAAGGGCAGCTTAGAAACAATTGACCACATTGTCAGTGCCTGCCCAGTTCTTGCTCGGACCAGTTACATTGAACGACATAACCGGATAGTAAAGTATGTGCACTTCGAAATGTGTAAAGCACGAGGTCTACCTACTGGTGCTTCACGATTCGACCACCAGCTCAAGGCATTGGTCAAGAGTAATCAGTATCGCCTCTATTGGGAGTATTCGGTCCCAACTGACCTGAAACTATCAGCAAACAGGCCCGATCTGCTCCTTGTTGATGACAAGGAGCGCATCGCCTACATTATAGACATCAGCGTTCCTGGTGAGAACAACATCAATAAGAAAATGGCTGAAAAGCGCTCGAAATATTATGATTTGAAGCGGGAGATTTCGAGGATTTGGTCCCTCAACCAGGTTGACGTGGTCCCTGTGGTTGTCGGTGCCCTGGGAGGCTTGGTGGGGGAGACTCCTCAATGCCTTCGGACTGTGCAGGGAGGAGACCTGGCTATTGTGCAACAGGAGGCTATACAAGGTTCGATTAAAATACTGAGAACTATCCTTAACATGTAGATGCACCTCTGCTGCGTTTGCATGTTCAATAGCTAAGAGACTTGAATAACGACTGATAAAGACTGATATTTCCTTTGTTACTACTCCCTTCATTGGTTGATGTATTTTTGCCTGTCGCTGCAAATTCTTTATTATTGTTTTGATGTTGGAGTTCGGATTGAGTTTCTTTCCTTTCTTCCTCTTCCTTCAACTAGTTCTTGTCCCTTTGGTTTTTAGGTTTTATTTATTTATTTATTTTTGTTTTTGTTTTTTCACTTTCTTTTTGCTGTCCCACCCATGGAAATATTTCCCGGTGGGTCTGGCTTATCGCCTTCGAAAGAAGTGAATAAAGGAGAAATAATAATAATAATAATGACAGTTCGCATATCACTCATTGCATGAGGTCAACGCATCTGTTGACAATTGAGCCACGCAGCTCACTTGATTTAGAATCATAAAATTTTACTGTACTGATGATCAAGCAGAAATTTTTGTCTGAAATTTACTTCCTCCGTATACAAAAACTTCGTGACTTTTATTTGAAAGCTGCGCACAGCTCTGGAATTGATCCGTTTGACTCGGAATAACACTCGTGGCATTGTCTAACCTATTTACAAGCTATATGCAAAGAAAAAAGCAACTCAGACGGATGAGATTGAGTTTTTTCAGAGTTTGTCGCTCATGTCATTGTCTCCTGATGACGCGGACTCCGCATCGCCAACAGTCGCTGCTTCCGCACGCATTTCGTTCAGATTCTTGTCTCCTGACGACGCGGACTCCGCATCGCCAACAGTCGCTGCTTCCGCACGCATTTCGTTCAGATTCTTGTCACCTGCAGTGATGATCCGGCGCTGGACTTTGGCTACGTCCTCTTCATCTCTAGACCTGTGTACGAATCGGTGTCGACTATATTCAGTCGTTCCAACCCGCGACCTCCATTATGCCGTGAAACGAGTCGTACAAGCACATCCACACGGTTCGCATTTTCTTGCCAGGATAATCCTTCCAAGCATTCTACAATGGCTTCGAGGAGGTCCTTGCAATCCCCCTTGGCGACAAAGGATACGTCTGACTGGAGAGAGGCGAAGAAAGCCAGGCCATCGACATTCTGATCCTGAGTCTGCGCTGGTTGCACGACGACTGAAATGTTTCATCTTGCCGTGCGAGCGAAACAAATCTATGTTCTCACGCTGCGTAGATCTATGGGGCCGCGCACTGCAAGTACGAGCCTGGCCAGTTTCAAGGCAGCGAGTGCCGCGTGACTCGTGTTCCAGCCACGAGCTACACTTCATCACTGTGTCAGTTTCGAGCAAGAAAATGTTAGTTTTTTTAATTTGACTCTTGAGTTTCTGTCGGCAACGTCCTCACACGCATGGCGTCCGTGGAGAATCTGTTCGGGATCAACAAAACTAACCTCGACATTGACGTGCGTTGTCGATGACAGCCTTTGGCGCCGTTTGTTGAGCAGATTCTTGCTCAAAAACACCGTTCAAAAAAAGTCACGAAGTTTTTGTATACGGAGGAAGTATTTTTGTCTTTTTCGTCCGAGGAGTTTTCGGACGAAGTGTATTGCCGGACTAATGTCTATTTGTGCAGCTTTTCCATGTGACATATATAGACTACTTTATTTTATTTTTTTATTATGGTCCATGACTAAATTTTCAACCGGACAAACTCCCTTTCTTTGGATTTGGACACAATCAGTATTCACCGACTAAATTTTCTGCCTGCACTGTAAAGTCCGCTGCAAACGCCCACTTCGCTGCAAACGCCCACTTCACTGCAAATGCCCACCCCAGCGGGTCCATACTATTTTCGTCTTTTTCAGGTCAATATAGTTGTAGAAAACTGGCATGAACATCGAATGCGTACGAGAGCGACTGTAATGCTCTACAAACTGCCTATGTCTTACCAGGAGGCTCCTCAAAAGCGATTGTCATTATCTTGCTGCAAAGAAAAACTTCTGTCGAGATGTCGATAAATACAGAGGATTAGCAAGACGAAATTCGCGTTCGCGTTTGCTCTCCAAGGAAAGTCGAACTCAGTGACGGAATTCGCGTTATGAGAAGGATTAGCAAACAGCACATGCATGACGTTGACACGACGTACATTATGTACAGACAGTACAGCGTGGTAAATTTATGACTGCCCTGACACGAATCCGCGATTCGTGTTCCGACTACTTTCCGAGCGAAAAATGCGAAAGTTTGCAATCCAGTTCGCGAACTGAAAAATGTTTGCGAACGCGAATGCGAATTTCGTCTTGCTAATCCTCCGTAATGAGTCGTCTGTTTTATTAGTTCATTCTCCATGTGGTAATGCCGTAGAATCCATCTGGTTTTCAAATCCTAAAATTCCTGCAGTCCCACAATGTCGTGCTTTCAGACGGTGATTGTTCTGACAAAGCGTCATTCGACGACTTAACCAGTCGCAGTATTGTTAAAGCCATTATTCTAACGAGGCGCATGTATAACGATCTCCCAAAATTGACTAGTTTACGTGTACCAAAGGTAACGATTCTCACTCATTCTCAACGCTCAAAAGGACAGTATATGTATCGATTTCTGTATAACAATTTCTATTTTAACGACAGATTTCTCCTCGTTAACTCGTTAGAGTTAGCACTTCGTTATATAGTTTCCTCTGAGACAAAAATGCGATAATACTCATAAAAAGGACACACTTCAGGCTCATTACAAACATCTTGAAAGTTTTTGTCTTCACAAGTATACTTTCAAGCCTGCTCGTCAGGTGAAATACAGGCAAGGGAAAAGGAACAGGAACAGTGGATTAAATACAGTAAGAAGGTGGTAAAACAGCGCAAAAAAAGAAAGAAGATAGCTAAAGTAAACAGCGAAAATTGCAATAATGACACAAAGGTGCAAATGCGAGAAAACTCAATACGCGTGACATGTAGTGCGACAACAAGAGACAACCACTGGACATACATGTAACTAACGAGGTTTTGACGACCTACCTAACAGCCTAAGTGTGAATTTGATTTGTTTCTGCTTGCAAAGGTTGGGTTTCTTTGTGTGGATGTATACAGCTTCCAAAACATTCAGCAATCTAGCACTGCGTACACGTGACACAATCGAAAAACAAACATCTGAATACACAGCACGACAATCAGGATGCTCAAGCAAATGACTAGCAATGGACGACTCATACTTATCAGAACTAACATCAGAACAATCAGCATGTGCGGTGGACACATCCGATTTCACAAACTGTAAAAGCCATATAATTATATAACGAAGTCGTTATATAATTATATGGCTTTTACAGTATTGCAGTTGCAAGTCGAACAGGGGGATGTCACAAAACTACGCCTACAAAGTCGCTCCTAATTAACTTGTTGAAAACTCTGGAGTGCTCGAGAAAAACCCTTGCCGCTTTGAGCGTTGTTTGATTTGGAAATGAAATTCCATGACGTTTTCTCCTGACTATTATCTGTGGACCATTGTCTTCCACAGGATAAGCCTGGCCTTTTAAACTCGACATTACTGTACGCAAAACTCTGGGTAACAGCCGAGCATATTTTGATTACCATTGGTTTGCCTGTGCGTCACGTGACTGTTTGTGTTGAACGCGTATGTGCCATATTTGGCAGTGAAAAACGAAATGGCTGACGGCGTGTGACCCGTCGAGCCCAGAGATTCACTGTGCCAGAACCAACATGGCTGATCCATTTGGTCACTGTATACGCAGAAAATGTACTTTACGGGCAGAAATTTCATCGGTCAATAATTTCGTCCAACTCCAAAGGAAGAGAGTTTGTTCCGTTCTAAATTTCGTCCAACTCCAAAGGAAGGGAGTTTGTTCCGTTCTAAATTTCGTCCAAGAGTGCATTGAAAAGCTGGGAAACATAGACATTAGCCCGGCATTTAATTTAGTCCAAAAGCTCCTTGGACGAAAAAGACGAAATTAAATTACAGACGAATATTTCTGCTTATATAGTGGTCAGTGAGTAATTTCACCCAACTCCAAAGAAAGGCAGTTTGTCTGGTGTAAATTTTCGCCCATGGATGTTGGCTCTTATTGAAAGGCCAGACAAATCGACATAGCCTTACATTAAATTCCGATTGGCAGTCCGAAATTCTCTGGACGAAAATGACGGAATATAATTGCCGACGAATATTTCTTCTTGTACAGCATGCGATGGAGGCGTAAAACCTATTCTGTATCTAACTCATGACATTTGACTGATGCTGTGCTCCTTGTCCCATGTGTTTCTCTCCGTCTAGTTGTTCCGATTTTGGCACGATCGTCGCCCGAAGTGGACACGGTCTCCATTCCGTATGGCGCGCACGTGACTCTGAGCTGCTCCTTCCTGGGAGTGGTGCGCGGCGAGATAGTCTGGGAGGGTCCGTACGGCGTGGTGGTCCCCAACACCGGTGTTCGCGTCACGATGTCGGTGAGTGTTGCTACCCTGTACACTGTACAGTCAGACCTCGCTTATCCGGTCCTCTCTTATCCGGTCCTCTCTTATCCGGTCCTCTTTTATCCGGATCCCTCGCCATCCGGAAGAAAATAGCTGGTTACAGATTTACAGCATATGGCATGCATGCAACATAACCGGTGTTCGATTATCCGGTTCCCTCGCCTATCCGGATATTTGTGTGGAAAACGGATGTGTGCGGTTATGCGCGGTCTGACTGTATTGTGTCGACCACAGTTCGTAAAATTCATGGTTCGTTTACACATCACTAATAACAAAAGTCTATAACCCCAAGAGTGAGCAACTGAGGTCTGGCTGGTGTAGGCCCACTGCACGGCGGAGTTCCAACATTACGTAATGCCACTGAGGCACAGCTGTACAAAACTCCGCATTCCGCGGTGCTTGGAACCAGGGAGTAGTACAAGCGCAACGAACGTGTGCGTCGTTTTTGACGTAATTTTGGAATTCCGCCGCGCAGATCCCCACGTACAGAGTTACACACTCTTGGGGTTATGGACTCTTGATAATAACAATACTTGTTGAATGTCAGCGCCACAACGGGCCTTATTATGCTAACTGTTGCACGTTATGACTCATCAATATCAAGCTTATAATTGCCAGTTCTGGACAACTGGGCGTAAACTGTTGGTACAGTGGTCCCTCTCTAATCCGGCACTTGTTTATCCAGCACCCTTGCAAACCAGCACACTTTCTGGCAAAACGGATTTTTTCAGTTCATTTTCTACGCTTTAATCCGGCACTTGAATTCCGCCTCCAGCAGCGATTTTCTGCAACAAATCACTCAAACTGTATATAATTCGATTTTCTAATCCAGCAGTTGTACATCGCAGACTGTCAGGGACCATTGTAACATACACAACACATGCAACATACACTTGGGAATATCCCATGCCAGTACATAAGATATTCCTAAGTGTATAACTTCAGGGCTAGTACTTGCACAGAAACACGTGGGCGCCATCTTGGTTCACGTGACATGTGTCACACCATGCTGTGTACAGTGAATCTTGCCGTACTTCGCGTCGACTCTGGCCTGTTCAAATCCACGCAAGTGAGCCACAGTTCTCTCTAGCAGGCTGAGATTTTGCAGGCACCGAGTTCAGATGTGGGCAAAGGGATTCACCGAAGGATTTTTTGATTTTCGCAATTTAGACCTCAAATAACACCCTCAAACTCGGTAAACGTGTCCCACCTCTAGGATCGTTTTGGCGAAATTCGCTTCGGTGAAAGTATGGAGCATCTCCTACTGAAAATTTTGAGCCATCGATTGTCAAAATCGGCTCATGTGGAGCTCACTTGTGTCGTTTTGAAGGACGCCGCGCCACGCGCGACTTGCGCTGGTTCTTTCACAAACGGAAGACACCTTCCGGTCAGAACTGCAGACTGTGACAGTGCATGCAGTGCGCACGGCGGTACGGCAAGGAAAAGAAGGAGACGTGCATTTTCCATTTGTTGCACTGTGTCCTTTGCTTTTATTGTTCACTGATAACATAATCGTAAAATTTTGAGCTAGAGAGAAGACTGACTTACAATCTGATTCATCTAGGCTTCAGCGTGATGCACGTATCCAGACCATAGGAAATATTGGGAAAGGAACCGGGAACCACGAGAATAATTTTTCTGGAGCGAATCCAATTATTACCATGGTTCCTTGTTCTTGAACACCGCGCTCCACATCGTCAATGTTCTGCGAGGTCAAGGATTTCAGGACTACTGTCGGTTTGTTCGACCTCGGGGCGATCTGATCTACGTCCAGCTGGCCATGATACTGAGCCGAAATGGCCACTAGTTCGCTTCTTTCTCGACTCGGGTTAATCAAGCCGGTCAGAGTGCGATTTCCTACCCTGGATGCGATCCATGGTGCGGACTGAAAATAACTACTGAACACCTCCTTGTACAAGCACTGACATACAAGACCGGTGGTGGATACAAACTGACAACAGGAAACCCTAACAGCACCCGCTCTGTCAAAGAAAGTCGAAGGGAAGCAGTTCGAACTAGTTCAAGCACCACCAAAAAATAAATAAAATAAAAACTAGCACTTGCACTTGCAGCTAGGTCAAAGACTGCACTGGCAAGTACACTTTTGCGCAGTCGCGATCTCGCGGCCCCGCATCACGTGCGGGTATCTGATGACGTAGCGTGATTCAAGATGGCCTCTGACGTGTTCCCGTTTTGTGATCCCAAATACCAGCCCTGAACTTATAGACATGCATTCCACAAAGTCCTTGGTTTGACACAGAAAATCCCTACGTTTTGACGCACGACACAAACATGTATGATAACATGTGGGCCGGGTTGGAGGGCAGGATTTCATAATCCAGCACCCTTGTTTATCCAGCAGAAAATGCCATTGCAAAAGGTGCCGGATTAGAGAGGGACGACTGTACTCTCTTCTTAATTTTAATCCTCGACTCTCCATCCGAGTTTAATAGTGACAATTGCCGTCTTTTCCGTTCGTTCGTTCGTTTGTTTGTTTGTTTGTTTGTTTGTTTGTTTGACAGAAAACACACGTGTCAACGGTCAGCATGCTGTCTATTGACTTCAGTACTAACATCACGGTGGGCCAGGGAGCGGCGGCCATGGACCTACGCATCGCTGCTGGCCTGTACGTCTGCAACGCCAGCAACTCGCGCGGCTCCGGGATGGCCAAGCGGAATGTCCTCTTCCTTGCCGAGAGCGCCTGTGAGTAGTAAAAGGAGAAAGTCGGCGTGTGCAAAGCGTGGTCATTGTTCTTGGTGCAACTGCAGCACGGCAGAGCCTTGTGACACAGAGGGTCCCGGGGATACATCAGTCGCAACTGTCTCTACTCCGGGGATTCACATCATACATTATACATTGTACAGCCATCATCAGGAGACTATGATGTAATCACCAAGGGACTATGATGTAATCACCAGGAGACTATGATGCAATCACCAGGAGACTACAGTAGACTCGTACGCCCAAGAACGCGGTTTCAGAGGGCCAGCCTAGCAAAGTTCTTATTTTTCAGCGCCCCATGCTACGTTCTTATTTCGCGTTCTTACGCGTCCAACATGACCCGTGACGCTCATGTACAATGCACTTTGCGCTACATGTACCGGTTGTACACTTTACATGCACGTGTAGTATGTAGCGCTGCACTGGGTGATGTTTTCGCGAGGACTCGACAAGAGTTTGTGGTTGCGGACTTTTTTTTCGTGTACTCGGACAAGATCATGAGTTCGTTCTTAAATCCAGGCTGGGGCGTTCTTAGATTTCCAGCCTGGACGTTCTTGGGCGCCACGTTCTTGGGCGTACGAGTCTACTGTATGACGTGACCATCAGAAGACCATAATGTAATCACCAGGAACTATGATGTAATCACCAGAAGACTATGACGTAGCCATCAGGAGACTATGATGTAATCACCAGAAGACTATGACGTAGCCATCAGGAGACTATGATGTAATCACCAGAAGACTATGACGTAGCCATCAGGAGACTATGATGTAATCACCAGAAGACTATGACGTAGCCATCAGGAGACTATGATGTAATCACCAGAAGACTATGACGTAGCCATCAGGAGACTATGATGTAATCACCAGAAGACTATGACGTAGCCATCAGGAGACTATGATGTAATCACCAGAAGACTATGACGTAGCCATCAGGAGACTATGATGTAATCACCAGAAGACTATGACGTAGCCATCAGGAGACTATGATGTAATCACCAGAAGACTATGACGTAGCCATCAGGAGACTATGATGTAATCGCCAGAAGACTATGACGTAGCCATAACATATACAGTGAAACCTGTCTAAGACGACCACCGCTCAAGGGACCTTCAAAAGGTGGTCTCTGTTACCAGGTGGTCTCCTTATCCAGGGTTATTTGACTGGAATAGCATCCCTTGAAGGTTTTACTCTACAGTGAAACTTGCCTAAGACCACCGCTCAAGGGACCTTCAAAACGTGTCTCTGTTACCAGGTGGTCTCCTTATCCAGGGTCATTTTACAGGAAGGAGCATCCCTTGGTCCTTGTTGCAGTGGTCTTCTGGGATAGGTGGTCGCCTTATCCGAGTGGTCGCCATTTTCCGACTGATCGCCTTGACAGGTTTCATTGCACACTGTTGTGATCTCGAACTTGCCAGTCACTGAACTGATTTTATTGTAAAGAAGACACAAACTTATAGAGTGTGAAGAACAGTATAGCAGATAGAGAGCGGTGGAAGGAGAGCTGCCGGACAGCTGGATTGTGTATCAATAAGCGCACTAGGGGAAGGCTAGACAGTATGCCTCTAGACAACAATAGGTATGGTACAAAAAGCCAGTCAATAGCACTAAGGAGTGAAGTCAACCACAACACAGACAGTAGCTTCAGACAATCATGACAGGCATGATATGGATTATACAACATACACAACTGCAACTTGCTGTATGACATTCTACTTCAAGTATTATTGTTTGTGGGACATGTAATAGTATGCACAATCCCATGACCCTTGTTATTCGGACTCAGCATGTGGCAACTCGCTTGTCGTTGCGTTCACGGGTTACCGATGTGTGTGTGTGCGTGTGTATGTGTGTGCGCGCATGTATGTGTGCTCGTGTGTGCACGTGCAATCCTGCGTTGCAGTCAACGACAAGGACCTCACCCTGGAGAGCTTCCTGACACAGCCCGTACTACTGACTGGCGGAGTGGGGCTCTCTTTAGTCTTCATCACCATTGCCATTGCCAGTATCCTCCATCGACGAGGACGACAGCAGCGACAGGAGTTCAGCGGCCCTGCGAAGAGCAGCGTGCAACATGACCAGCAACCCATAGTGAAGAACGGCGGCGGCAAGAAGAAGAAACGCGGCAAGGAGAGGTCGGCCAAGTCCGAGCAGAGCCTCACCCGCAGTGGTAAGGAGTCGTTGTTGTTGTTCTGAATTCTGAATTCCTTATTCTCACGATGGCACCATCGCCAACGAGAGAGCTTGGAAGCTCAGGGCCCTACGCTATGCTTTTTTGCCTTGATGACCTAGACAAAAAAAAGCATAGGGATGTTATAAATTCTTTAAAAAATTCCTTTTTTTAAGACATAACCTGGGATTCGAACCCGCACTATCGCATGCCCTGCATGCATCCCCCGATACACTTCGCATACATACTAATTCTTCCAAGTTGTTTCACATTGTGATCTTGCATTTGAAAGCCCTATTTGAATATGCATTGTGTCCAGCCGTCTTTCTGGCACGGTACGGTAGGGGATAGTTACGGGACAGGTACGATCGAGGGTAATACGACACCGTCTCCCGTACCGAACCGTACCATCAAACACAGCTGGCCACATACAGCTGCCCGCAATATTCAAATAGGGCTTTCACATGCAAGATAATAACGTGAAGCAACTTGGAAGAATGGGTATGAATGCGAAGTGTACGGGGGAATGCATGTAGGGCGATAGTGCGGGTTCGAATCCCAGGATATGCCTGAAAAAATAGGAGAATTGAAAAATTTATAACATCCTATGCTTTTTTGCCGTCAGATACGGATAGCGCCAGGCGTGACACAAACAAACAAACACACAAACAAACAAATGAGAACAAATGCACTTCGAAGTCTCCTTTGTGTCGTAGTGTTGAGTTGAATAGTGATTGGAGTTCGTTGTTTGTTTGTGTGGGATCTGGTTTTGGACGGAGTCGCGGAGGTAAGTATAGATAGTTCTCTCAGTTCAGGCGAGTGCTTCACTTTTACTGTGCCGACGGTGCACTCTGCATTGGCTTGCTCCCACCCTCTCGCGGTTCTGTGTAGTGCATTTTGTCGCTGGGTTTCTGATCGAAAGGACACCAGCGGCAAGATGCATTGCATCAAATCGAGAGGGGGTCGGTGCATGCCAATGCAGGGTGCACCGTAGGTACGGTACTAAGTGAACCCAGTGAATAATGAATATCAATCCAGCGCGGGATTCTATTGGCTATTATCTTTTTTTTTCTTTTTTTTTTGAACTACCAAGCCTCTTGTACGGCCAAACTGTGACAAACACAAGTACAAGCGCAACCTCAACCTCAACCAGAAGAAAACGAGCTAAAAATGGCTGTGAACACAGTCGAGAGAGCTAAAATGGCCGTGAAAACAGTCTAATATGGAAAACCAAGAAATCATAACAATTATCACTCTCTTATTGTTGACCCCCACAGAAACTTGCGATCTCTAAGGGGGCGTTCGTTTTTGATCTTCAGGTTTGGGTAGAAACTACTTCTTTCGGTAGAGGTGTTCGTTTTTCGAAAAAGAATTCTACTCAAAAGGGTACATTTTGCTTTCCTCTACCGGCTCTACCGGGAAAAAGTCAGAAAATAAATCAGAAATAAATCAGAACTGAAAGAAGAAAAATCTGAAGCCAAACGTTGGGATTCGAACCCAAACTGTCAGATTCTCAGTCAAAGTACTTATGGGAACATACTACAAGTGACAACTGAAAACTTCTGTTTATAGAGAAGTAAGGTCCAATGTAAACGGCATATGTGCATACTATGTACTATTACAATAGTATTCCTTTCTTCCTATAAGTATAAACACAGCTAAAAACAGTTTAGGCATGCTATGTCGTGATAAATCTATTACTGCCCTCAAATCGGTCAATATATGAAATATATTGACATAATATGAAATATATTGACCTCTTTAATCGTGCAATAATAGGTAGTAGTAGTAGTAGTTGCTTTTTGCTAATTTCTTGAATGGTTTTGTCACCATTGCCTTTCTTGCTTGCGCTTTTCAGTTTCTTCTTTCTGACACCCGGTTTGTTTTCAAATAAAGGCGAAGTTCAGTAGTAGTAGTAGTAGTAGTAGTAGTAGTAGTAGTAGTAGTAGCAGTAGCAGGAGCAGCAGCAGCAGCAGCAGCAGCAGCAGCAGCAGCAGCAGCAGCAGCAGCAGCAGCAGCAGTAGTAGTAGTACATGACGGGACCTGTTACTTTAATTTTCACTTTGAGTTTCAAGTTTTCTTCTTTTGACATTGGATTTGACATTGGATTTGACATTGGATTTACTAATTGATTTGACGTTATTTAAAGAGTTTTCTTTTTTAATTGAATTGATCTTCAATGATTTACGATTTCACGTTTCCGCTATTTTGCCCGTAAAAGAGGCTTGTCACCAGTAGTAGTAGTAGTAGTAGTAGTAGTAGCAGCAGTAGTAGCAGATTTTATTATTTTACTAGGGGAGTCCCAACAGGCGTTGCCTTTTTACTGGGAACCCTAGGTGAATTTTTACCATGTTTACATACAGAGTAAGAGACGGGGCCTGACGGCAGTCAGTGGGAAGAGCATTCCATCTGTGTGCCGCCAGGAAAGAAATAGAACGCATGCCATATTGCGTAGAAACAGGCGGAAGAACTAATGCACACTGTGCCTGGCCGCGCGTGCGAGCCTGGTGTCCAGGCACAGCAGCCCTAAGCTGGAACAAGGATTGGAGAAGGGGACTAGCAAGATGTGGGGTCAAGCAGCGGTACACGAAAACATTGAGTTTAAGATTTATGCGCTGTTCAAAAGAATAGATACTTATTTGCCGGTCAGCAAGGCTCTTGATTGGCTGAAACAGGCATATCGTACCGTACCCTGGAATAAAACCCTGTATCAATCATGCACAGAGTGCAAATAATGTGTACGGGTTCATAACGTGATGTGAAGTTCTGCCGTCGCAGACCCCATAGCTAGCTGCTGGAGTTGCACACGCCTGGGGGTTACTGTAAAACACGATATTTTCGGTGAAACTTTAATTTCGGTGATTTCGGTAGTGAAAGCCAGCGCCTAAATTTAAATTACACCTAAAAGGCACCAGAGTATGCACTGTATGTGCAGGGAATGCTGGTCACCTAATTCTACATTACACCTGAAACCTGGCAGGTGCCTGACACCGAAATTTTAATACACCTAAAATCACATGTTTTACAGTATGTACTCTTGGCTTTACTCTTGGCTTTACTGTCTTGATATCTAGTTTGGATTCATTGTGATGATGATGCTGCTGTTGTGACTGCCCTCTGCATTATGTCTTGGCTGCTCTGGCTGCTGCTGTTGTGACTCACCTCTGCATTATGTCTTGGCTGCTCTGGCTGCTGCTGTTGTGACTCACCTCTGCATTATGTCTTGGCTGCTCTGGCTGCTGCTGTTTTGACTGCCCTCTGCATTATGTCTTGGCTGCTCTGGCTGCTGCTGTTGTGACTCACCTCTGCATTATGTCTTGGCTGCTCTGGCTGCTGCTGTTGTGACTCACCTCTGCATTATGTCTTGGCTGCTCTGGCTGCTGCTGTTGTGACTCACCTCTGCATTATGTCTTGGCTGCTCTGGCTGCTGCTGTTGTGACTCACCTCTGCATTATGTCTTGGCTGCTCTGGCTGCTGCTGTTTTGACTGCCCTCTGCATTATGTCTTGGCTGCTCTGGCTGCTGCTGTTGTGACTCACCTCTGCATTATGTCTTGGCTGCTCTGGCTGCTGCTGTTGTGACTCACCTCTGCATTATGTCTTGGCTGCTCTGGCTGCTGCTGTTGTGACTCACCTCTGCATTATGTCTTGGCTGCTCTGGCTGCTGCTGTTGTGACTGACCTCTGCATTATGTCTTGGCTGCTCTGGCTGCTGCTGTTTTGACTGCCCTCTGCATTATGTCTTGGCTGCTCTGGCTGCTGCTGTTGTGATTCACCTCTGCATTATGTCTTGGCTGCTCTGGCTGCTGCTGTTGTGACTCACCTCTGCATTATGTCTTGGCTGCTCTGGCTGCTGCTGTTGTGACTGACCTCTGCATTATGTCTTGGCTGCTCTGGCTGCTGCTGTTTTGACTGACCTCTGCATTATGTCTTGGCTCTGGCTGCTGCTGTTGTAACTCACCTATGCATTATGTCTTGGCTGCTCTGGCTGCTACTGTTTTGACTGCTCTCTGCATTATGTCTTGGCTGCTCTGGCTGCTGCTGTTGTGACTCACCTCTGCATTATGTCTTGGCTGCTCTGGCTGCTGCTGTTGTGACTGACCTCTGCATTCTGTCTTGGCTGCTCTGGCTGCTGCTGTTGTGACTGACCTCTGCATTATGTCTTGGCTGCTCTGGCTGCTGCTGTTTTGACTGACCTCTGCATTATGTCTTGGCTCTGGCTGCTGCTGTTGTGACTCACCTCTGCATTATGTCTTGGCTGCTGCTGTTTTGACTGACCTCTGCATTATGTCTTGGCTGCTCTGGCTCTTGCTGTTGTGACTGACCTCTGCATTATGTCTTGGCTGCTCTGGGTGCTGCTGTTGTGACTGCCCTCTGCATTATGTCTTGGCTGCTCTGGCTCTTGCTGTTGTGACTGACCTCTGCATTATGTCTTGGCTGCTCTGGCTGCTGCTGTTGTGACTGACCTCTGCATTATGTCTTGGCTGCTGCTGTTTTGACTGACCTCTGCATTATGTCTTGGCTGCTCTGGCTCTTGCTGTTGTGACTGACCTCTGCATTATGTCTTGGCTGCTCTGGCTGCTGCTGTTGTGACTGACCTCTGCATTATGTCTTGGCTGCTCTGGCTGCTGCTGTTTTGACTGACTGACCACTGCATTATGTCTTGGCGGCGCGGGCAACTGGCGGTTGTTTTGGGTCTTGAGTTTTGACTGATCACTGCATTGTGTCTTTGCTGCTCTGACTCCTGCTGCTGCTGTTGCTGTTGCTGCTGGTGCTGTTTGCGGTGTTGCTTGCCTGCCTGCGTGTTTACAGGGAGTGTCCTGCCGGACTGCATTGAGGAGGAGTACACGTACGGCAGTTCGTCTACGCGTGTGCGCCGCAAGCCGGGCTTCAACAGCTTCGACATGCAGGCCCTGAGCAGGACCAAGTCGAAGATCGGGAACCACGTGCAGGTGAGGGTCGAGGAGGAGCAGGAGGACGACCTGGACGACGGGGACGAGTACATCTACGGAAACGAAAGCACCACAGCCTGCAACGACCACAGCCTGGTCGTCAAGCGCTCGGCCATGCAGACGACGGACTCGGACGTCGACCTGTGCTTCACGTTCGACAAGGACAGGCGCAGCAGCGCCGTCACCATGCTGCACGACTTCTACGTGGAGGGCACGAACGGCGGGCCGGAGACGCCCGGCTTCTCGCCGTGTGGGTCCGACGCCCCGAGCCGGGCCGAGCTGGTCAGCATTGGGCAGGGCAGCGATATGTTCTATCCGGACGGCAGTGGACACGGCGTGGCGAACATACGCAGCGCCGCAACAATTGAGGGCACCATGCAGCTGCGGCGCTCGCTGGTGGCCGCCGCAGCCGCCACTGTCGAGGGCGAGGACCACAAGTACGCCAACAACGACAACGCGTCCAACATGGGCACGGCCGACCCGCAGGCATGCGAGTACGGCGAGATCACCCCCAGCGGGCCGTGTCGCATACCCGACATGCTGTCCTGCGAGGACGAGTACATGGTGGCGTCGGACGTGCAGCACCTCGCCCACCTGCCACCGCCGCCCGACGAGAACGAGTATGGCGAGCTGGGCGCAGTTGGGCCTCCTCCGCCGCTGCCGTCGTCGTCGATGCAGAAGGACACACGCAGTCTGCCGCCGCCGCCACCGCTGAGCTCCGCACCGCCCACACTGCCGCTGTCTCGAGATATGCCACCACCGCCACCGCCGGACTGGTCATGAGCTGGTCAGCGTGCGTCACTGCAGCGCTCGGCTCGGTAGACGGGGCATTGGCCGGTTGCAGCACTCACTCACTCACCAGGTGTGCAGTACATGCATTCAAACTGACCGGCAGCAGCAGCAGCAGCAGCAGCAGGGGAAAACCCATCCCTTGGCAGCGACTTTTAACTGAATCCGGATAGCGACGCATAGCGCAGTCCTTCCAGAGCGGGTGCATGCGCTCAAATAGCGCCACGGTGTGAAGTCTTGAGGTGAAGCTGAGTCTGCTTACACTGCCCCAACTGACAGTGCTGAGCGTCGCCATCAAGAAGAACAGTCCCATGTACATAATTATCTCTCTTTCTTTGTCGGCGGAATTCCCTGCCAGGCGCAAGGATTCTAGAGCGCCACTTCCAAGCTCCATTGCATTGCTGCTGCTTTCTTTCTTGCTCTGTGCGCATTTTGTTGCTACTTCCATTTACGTTGTTTAGACTATCGATTGATTGCCCCGAGGGCCTCTCACACGCACTCTCTCTCTCTCTATCTATCTATCTATCTATCTATCCATCTATCTTCTTTCTCTCTCTCTCCCTCGGTCGGCGGTGTCCCTTTTGCCCCCCCCCCCCCCTCCCCCTCTCTCTTTCCTTCAATAACCTTTTTTTGTGCTTTGAACTTGACATTAATGAAAACCAAATACTTTCGCGTGAGACATCATGTTACGCCGCCTGTCACCGCATAGAATGAGGCGACCCAGCACTCTCATGCGCATGAGGCTGACATGTGGCTAACCATTACACATAGGACACGCACGCACGCACACACATACACACGCACACACGCACAAACACACACACACACACACACAAACACACACACACAAACACACACACACACACACACACATCTGGCTTCATGTACTACGCGCTAAAATACCGACGCATCCCCCCCCCCCCCCCCCCCAGCTTGCTACTTTCCACCAATTTTGGCTTTATCTTCACTTCTCCGTCACCTATTCGTCGGTCACTACCGTCATGCCCCTGCACGCATTCTTCTGCTTTGTCTCACCCTACCAGTCGTCGTCGTGCGCGGGAACTTGTAGCTTCATGCAGATTGGCATCACCATATCACCGCACCAATACATAATTTAATCGTCCAATCACGGAGTGACATAGTCTATTCAACTCCCTGCGCCATAAGTCAACATATTATATTTCTCTTGCTGTTGTAATAATTTTTTTGCATGTGCTATATCCTTCTGCTACGAGGTACCGTAATATATTTTCGATGACACTGCGGCCATTTTCCATGATTTTTTCTCCTTCCTCGACCTCGTCATGTGCAGCCTGACTCTTGCGTGGCACGCATGGCAAGCAATCAGTATAATAATATGTCGATGCTCTCAAATACTCCCTTTCTCCCCCATTTGATGTGCCAACGCAGCAACTTTTGGTTGCCATACTTGTAATGCATAATTATCAATGTTTGTAACTTGTTTGAATTTCCGGATCCCAGTGCTGTCTGCTGATCCCTTCGTTACATCCCCGCTGTCGAGAGATTATGGCTTGTTAGTGTTAGTGTACGTGCGTGTGTGCATGTGTCTGACTGTGTGTGTCGGTCTAGGCATTAGGAAGGGTAACCATCGTCATGGTGGTTGGTGTGGCAAATCGTCACCACTTCACAATGAAGGCGACCATGTACAGCACTATGATAAAGCGCAGCCGATGAGAAACTTTGGCTTTTTAATAATTATCTCGAAAATGAATCAGATGCCTTTGGCCGTTATCAAATGTCGGCCCATTTGCTGTGTTGAAAACAGAAACACAGTGAAACCCCGTTAGGAAGAACACTGATAAGACAAATGTTTGCCTAAGTCTACTGAGAAGAACTAGTATTCGTAACTGTATTGGATAAAACCCTGTGTACTATTCACTGAGTAAAACATATGGATAAGAAGAACTCCCGTTAATGCGAACAAAAAGGATCGGTCCCTTGATGGTCGTCCTAAACTTAAAGGGGAAGTTAAGGCAAAAATTAAAATTTCACCAGTTGTAGTCTTCGGGGTGCTGAGTCGAATGGTCTTGGTCCGAGTAAGCTGAGACGCTCCCTTCCTACTTGAATCCCAATCGAACTCGCGCACTTCCACCGAAACTGGGTGACTGGGTGACTGCGCCCTACTAATGGGGATTTGTATGCAAAATATCACTAAAAGCGCCACTAAAAGCGCCATTTCGTTCTTATACAAGCACGGATGACCGCGATTGGCCAATATGTTGTAGTCTTTTGGATGCTGAGTCGACTGGTTTTGGTCCGAAAAGGCTGCGATGCAGCGTTCCTCCTTTATTCCCAATCGAACATAGTTGAACAAGCGGTCACGTGCTCCTGGGTGCCCAAATCACCTGGTTACCACGCCAGCATGCAGGCGACAACTACTTTCACACCAAGGTTCAACTCGAGTCCAAATCGAGTGACAGGAGTGACCGCTTGTTCAACCATGTTCGATTGGGAATAAAGGAGGAACGCTGCATCGCAGCCTTTTCGGACCAAAACCAATCAACTCAGCGTCCAAAAGACTACAACATATGTATGGGCCAATCGCGGTCATCCATGCTTTTATAAGAACGAAATGGCGCTTTTAGTGACATTTTGCATACAAATCCCCATCTAGTAGGGCGCAGTCACCCAGTTTCGGTGGAAGTGCGCGAGTTCGATTGGGATTCAAGTAGGAAGGGAGCGTCTCAGCTTCCTCGGACCACGACCATTCGACTCAGCACCCCGAAGACTACAACTGGTGAAATTTTAATTTTTGCCTTAACTTCCCCTTTAAAAGAGATTACAGGTTTGACTGTACAGTACATGATTGTACTGAAGTAGTTTAAAAGTTGATAACAAGCTGACCAGCAGAAACGTTTTTTTTGGATTCCTCTCAGGTGTGTGTGACCGTGGTCATGTACTGTCAAGTCTGGTCTACTGTTGTGTGCGGATGCAAATTTTGGTGCTCCGCCGTTTTTCAGATATCTTTCAGGGTAGCCTCTAGCCCTTATACTTTATTTAGCTGATCAGTACTGAAGTAGATTGCGTAGTGCTTTGGAAGACCATGCCAACCTCCTCATCCCATAGTCCAAGTGTTGGGACGGGATCTTTGCATGCTCGGCTCAGTGGAGGCAAGTCCAAAGCTGTTAGTCCGCCTGATACACTCCGCTCGCAGGCACCACGATTAGCGACCCAGGCAGGACAGGGCAATGATGACGAGCTGCGTAGGATTTCTCATATGCTGAAGGAAATTCGCAACGAGCAGACGGCCAGTAAGGAGACCCTCAATCGTTTCATGGATGATGTGCTGACAAGGATGGAGAAGGTCATGGAGGAGTATGACGTGATGAAGAAGACCCTGTCATCTTTCGAACAACGACTTGCTGCACTTGAAGGGAGTCCCGTACCCGCACCCGTACCCACAGCGACAGTACTAGCTCCACCTGATATTTCCGCTCTGATTCAAGAGGAAGCTGAGCGACTAAACCGGAAGCAGTACGCTATCGTACGTGGAATTCCCGATATGGATGGGGAAAAACTAGAGGAAATCTGCTCGAGAGCCCTGAGGGTCGACCAAACCGCCTTATCTTCCACGGAAAGGCTTGGCACGGTGCGTACTACGGGCACACAATCGCGTCCAATACGGATCAAGTTCCAGAAGAATGCCATCAAAGGCGAAATTTATCGCAGGAGATTTGACCTGAAACTCGATGATGGCTCACCTGTATACTTCTCCAACGATCTTACCCGAAAACAGCTGCAAAAAAGGAAGACAGTACTACCACAGTACAAACATCTGAGAAGTAAGGATGTCAAATGCCAACTCCCGTATGATGTCATTCTTGATGAGAAGGGTGTCCCACTAGCACTCGACAATCTACCTGCTCCTGCATCGAGCTCTCAGCCATAGGACATTCCTGGGGACCCTAGCTTAACAATTGCCCATTTGAACGTTCGTAGCCTGCGCCATAAAATTCAGCAAATCCACGAAATACTGCATGACAATGAGATCCATATATTATCTATCAATGAAACTCATCTGGATGGCAGTGTCAGCGACCACTTGCTCCATATCCCTGGATACAGTATTTACAGGAAGGACCGTTCCCTTCATGGTGGTGGTGTCTGTCTGTATGTTTCATCCAGTCTGAAGGCAACAGTAGTACATGCTAGTAGCCACCCTGAGCTTGAAGCTCTCCACATTTTAGTCCGTCAGGGAAAGGACACAAGAGCTGAGAAGTTTATTGTCAGTTCCGTGTATAAGCCTCCCAGCACTGGAGTGGATTTCTGGGATTGTCTGAGTGCCCAATTGGACAGTCAGCCAGTGCCAAAGAGTAAGCGAATTATCCTGGGAGATTTTAACACGAATGCTATCCCGCCTCACTCTCCTCAACTCAAGTACCTCAACCAACTCTGTGCAGAGCACTGTCTGCACAATATCATCACAGTACCAACACGGCTACCATCGAACACGTGCCTGGACCTGGTTCTACTGGAAGCTGGGCTTTGCCATGAGCAGCCCTCAGTCACTGCCGTGGACGACCTTAGTGACCATCACCTCGTAGTGTTTGACCTCCATCTCCACAGCTGGCACCGCATTCAAAAGCACGCCTATCGCAGTATTAGAAAACCTGGTATTGCCGCAATCGACTTCCGAAAGTTCAAGGAGGACGCCCGAGCACTTCTGGCAGTCAATTACAACGATGCAACTATTCATCTTCAAGCCGAAACTTTCCTGACATCACTAGCTGACCTTACTAACCGTCATGCTCCAGTGCAGCTAGTCAGATACCCAATCTGTCCTAAACCTATACCTCACTCTTGGACAACTGCTGAACTGCAGCAGCTGCACCATACACGGAGGAACTTACACCGACAGCTTCAGCGTAGGCCAGACGACTCAGCTCTTAAACAAAGGTATCGTGCAGCCAGGCGTCAAGGAAAGCGCTTGAACAGACAACTGAAGTCACAGTTTTTAATCAAGAAATTCCAGGATCTAAGGAATGACCCAAGAGGGCAGTGGCGTCTGCTTAACGGCATGACTGGTCGTAGACCCACCCGGAACCAGCCCACTGCATCAATTTCGTCGCTGACTGATACGTTTGCGGCCATTGTTCAAGACACCAACAGGCCTGGGGTTCTACAAATTCCACCTGAAGACAATGAGCAGCTACCTCATCTCACGAATTTCCAACCAGTGACAGTACAACACGTGTCCGATATTCTGAAGTCTCTTAATTTGTGCAAATCACCAGGTCCAGACAACGTGCTACCATCCATACTGAAGAATGGTGGAGATGCTATTGCTGAGTACCTCACGGACATAGTGAACGAGTCCCTCCAAACTGGTAATGTCCCCACCGTCTTTAAGCAAGCTATCATAAGTCCACTTATGAAATCTGGAGACCCTGATCTGGCGGCAAACTACCGCCCAGTTTCGCTGCTGCCTATATGTGCCAAGGTATTAGAAAGAATAGTACTGGACCAGATAACGAAATTCTTCGCAGATAATGGCATTGAACACGTACCAGACTCTCAATTTGCGTACCGTCGCAACCACTCTTGCGAAGACT